TCTGACCAAAAAGGATACATAAAAGGGCGTTTCGCTGGAGAAAACGTACGCCTAATAGAAGACTTACTCTATTACACTGACAAATACGATATAGAAGGAGCTATGGTAATTTTAGATTTTAAAAAGGCATTTGATTCAATTAGCAGAGATTTTATGTTTGCGGTATTAAACAAATTTAATTTTGGTAAAACGTTCTGCAAGTGGGTTGAATTGCTATACACAAAAGTTTAATGTGTTACTACGAATAACGGATGGGTCTCCGAAAATTTTGATATGAAAAGAGGAATACGACAAGGCTGTCAGTTATCAGCACTTTTGTTCATACTTGTTGTTGAAATTATGGCATGTAACATAAGGAATACCAATATTTTTAAAGGAATTAAGTTACCAAATATAATTGAGCAAAACTATATAGAGGCAAAAATTAGTCAATTAGCTGACGACACTGTATTGTATGTCGGCGATGAACAAAGTCTACGTACCTCCATCAACATTATAGAATCATTTTGCAAAATATCTGGAATGACACTAAACAGACACAAGACAAAGGCCATGTGGATAGGTAAATGGAAAGATAGGAAAGATGAACCATTCGATTTGTGTTGGGTTAAACATCCAGTAAAGGTTCTAGGAATTTACATAGGATACGACATTAAGTCTTGTACAGATAAGAATTGGGATGGTAAGTTGATAGAACTTCAACAAACATTAAAATCATGGAGTGCGAGAAACCTTTCTTTTCATGGAAAAGTTACCGTTTTAAAATCTCTTGCTTTGTCAAAATTAATATATGAAGCAAACATTATAGATGTACCAAAATATGTAATAGATAAAGTAGATAGCTTAATATATGCGTTTATTTGGAATAGCAAAAGAGAGAAAATAAAACGAAAAACGTTAATTGGTGATGAAAAGAAGGGTGGCATTAAAATGCCAGATTTTGGTTTACATGTGAATGCATTAAATGTATTATGGGCAAAACGCATTCTATATAATGCTGATGCCAAGTGGAAATGTATTCCAAAATTTTTTATTCAAAAAATAGGTCCTGAAAAGGTTATTTTTAATATGACGTGTCTAAACAATATTATTGCTGAGTATGATATGCCAATATTTTATAAAAATGTATTGCAAGCTTGTATTAAATATAACAAAATAAATCAAAGGGATATTCAAACATATGAGGAAATTATGAGTACACAGTTGTGGGGTAATCACTTAATCCAACTAAATAAGAAGTTATACAAACACTGGATTAACTGTGATATAGTGTTCATTAAGGATCTTGTAAATAACAATACATTTATACGTTCCGACGAATTATTATTAAAATTACGACGCAAATTAAATTGGCTAAATGAATATGTTTGCATAATTAAAGCAATACCAGATCAATGGAAATATATAATTAAAAACACAGACATTTTTAACCCTGAATGTAACATAAATAACAATAAAAATTTCGAACATTGTAAAACTAAAAATGTATATGCGTGTTTAGTAGACAACGTTTTTGTAACACCAACAATACAAAAAAAAATGGGAAGATTGTTTTATTGATGAAAATATTGATTGGAAATCATGTTGGTTATATAAAATATGTAAAATGAAGGACAAAAAATTAGCCCAGTTCAATTACAAGCTCTTACACAGGATTTTGCCTACTAACAAAAGATTACATATATGGAAACTAAAAGATACTGACAAATGTTATAAGTGTAAAGAAAATGTTGAAGATGAAAAGCATATGCTTTTCAATTGTACATTTATCAAACCTTTTTGGATGAAAGTTAAATATATATTAAGAGGTATTGGGCAAGAAGATATATCTTTTAAGCAACTGGTTCTTGGAACAGAAAATGTAATTGTAGATTATATTTACACTGCTGCAGCTTTTACTATTTACAAAGAAAAAATTCTGTGTGAATTAAAAAAAT